TTTAACAACGATCGTAGAACTTCTATTGATTGCTTCGATTAGCTTTCACTTCAATCTTCTGGCTTAGGTCAAATGCTACATCGAACTTGGTTCTCTAAACTGTCACACCCCAAACCTAAATGGCAGAAATGTTTGGGGCGAAGGATGTCATATTCAGTATCATAACAATTGAATAGCAAAGAATGTACACACCACCATAGCATATACTTGTAAAGTTTACATGATTGTATCGATTACATGTTTAAAAGTCAAATACATCATGATGAATTCCAGAAGATGATGTTAACGCCAGAGCGTTAATCCCTAAAAGTAGTCGCTAACCCTGATTAGTGGTTTCCTGAGAATACAAGTTATTTCAAAAAAAAGTGTCAACAATTAAGTTCATGAGTTCTTAAGTGGTGATTTGAGTAAATGTATGTCATTCGAAAGTTCATGTATGTTCTCCGAAAAATCCGATATTTTCTTATAAGTGTATGAAATGAGTTATGAATCGTTATTTGCATGAAATGAATGTATTGAACCAAGAAAATCCCATATTTTCCTAAAAGTGAAAACCAGTCTTAAATGACCAAGACTGTGACTTGTAAGCAATATGTCATGCTTAAAATTATGATGCATAGTCTTATTATAAAACAAAACAACAAGAAGATCGTATCTGTATGCGAAAAATAACTGTAATAGTCACTTTTACTTGTGAAAACATAATACCATAATAATTGTCTATTCAGTGAGTTTTCATAACCGTACTATCATAATTTGCATGTGGTGACGTTCTTCAGGTGCCCAAATGTTATGACACTTGTCACCCCGTGGACTGTAGCTAACAATCAGGGTGCATGATCATTAGTCCCGTATACATCTATACACACTTTTCACATTCTCCGAACGGGAGATTTTGGTTATAAAACAGGACTTGCTAGCGGTACCTTGATAGGTATAGTGAAAACAAATGACTAATAGATTCTCAATTAAGTCACATATTAGAAATGAATATGTTTGTCTCTAAAATAATTACTCTTTTTCTACAGTGTTGACAAACGCATAATAATGATTTGTATGTTCTTGCATGTTTACGAATGTTATAGTAAAAATGGTTACCCTTGATATGATGCAAACATATAAATAAAACTTATAATATTTATAATTATGTTTCATCCCTAGAGGGTAAAGTGGTGTAAGATGTTTGCATGTTAACAAAATCCATATAATAGTTATAAAAACAACACGAAATGTATAACAAAAGATTATTGTTTTCACATGGGATTAACCATGTGTTTACTTATAAAAATCATAACTTCCTCATAAGAAGTCAGGTTTGGACGTTATTTTTATGCACACTACTACGAATTTAGTTTAGATCGCTAAGGCTATACAATATTTTATCGTAAATTCACTTTTTACGATTCTCAGTGTCGTGTCGGTTTTGCCATAAAACTTCGACGGGTCATAACTTCTTCGTTATAACTCGGATTTCGGCGTTCTTTATATGTACGGAACCTTTTTCACATATACTATAACTTGGTTAGGATTATTTATTCTAAATAATCATCTATTAAAAAGTAATTTTTGATGTTTATTGTTTCTAAATTGACTAGCCCAAATCTGCGGATGTTACAATTATCTCCTCCTTAGGATGATTACGTCCCAGAATCATCAACAAAACAAGAATTGTATAATGACTCCATACATTATCTCTTCATCCTAGGTAATAATCTTAACTCGTATGTCATTTCAAATGAGCATTTAACTCTTGGACTTCTTGACTATTAGTGGTACTCAATCTTGCATCCGATTTTCATATGTTGTTGGACTTTCAATTGTAACCTTCGATTTACAATCTTGATCCTTATTGGAAACTCCCGATCCTTCGTAAACAAACTTTACTTTGACTATTGTAATAGGCTGATGGGTCATGTTCTAATAACCTATCATCGTATGATGCAATGATTAGACTCGGGTCTCTTACACTCAAATTCCAGAAAGGAATATACATTCCATCATGTTCTAATGTGAGATAATCATATTCTAGCATGCAATACTTCTAGCTACAAGCTTATTACTTTAACAACGATCTTAGAACTTCTATTGATTGCTTCGATTAGCTTTCACTTCAATCTTCTGGATTAGGTCAAATGCTACATCGAACTTGGTTCTCTAAACTGTCACACCCCAAACCTAAATGGCAGAAATGTTCGTGGCGAAGGATGTCATATTCAATATCATAACAATTGAATAGCAAAGAATGTACACACCACCATAGCATATACTTGTAAAGTTTACATGATTGTATCGATTACATGTTTAAAAGTCAAATACATCATGATGAATTCCAGAAGATGATGTTAACGCCAGAGCGTTAATCCCTAAAAGTAGTCGCTAACCCTGATTAGCGGTTTCCTGAGAATACAAGTTATTTCAAGAAAAAGTGTCAACAATTAAGTTCATGAGTTCTTAAGTGGTGATTTGAGTAAATGTATGTCATTCGAAAGTTCATGTATGTTCTCCGAAAAATCCGGTATTTTCTTATAAGTGTATGAAATGAGTTATGAATCATTATTTGCATGAAATGAATGTATTGAACCAAGAAAATCCCATATTTTCCTAAAAGTGAAAACCAGTCTTAAATGACCAAGACTGTGACTTGTAAGCAATATGTCATGCTTAAAATTATGATGCATAGTCTTATTATAAAACAAAACAACAAGAAGATCGTATCTGTATGCGAAAAATAACTGTAATAGTCACTTTTACCTGTGAAAATATAATACCATAATAATTGTCTATTCAGTGAGTTTTCATAACCGTACTATTGCATGTGGTGACGTTCTTCAGGTGCCCAAATGTTATGACACTTGTCACCCCGTGGACTGTAGCTAACAATCAGGGTGCATGATCATTAGTCCCGTATACATCTATACACACTTTTCACGTTCTCTGAACGGGAGATTTTGGTTATAAAATAGGACTTGCTAGCGGTACCTTGATAGGTATAGTGAAAACAAATGACTAATAGATTCTCAATTAACTCACATATTAGAAATGAATATGTTTGTCTCTAAAATAATTACTCTTTTTCTACAGTGTTGACAAAGGCATAATAATGATTTGTATGTTCTTGCATGTTTACGAATGTTATAGTAAAAATGGTTACCCTTGATATGATGCAAACATATAAATAAAACTTATAATATTTATAATTATGTTTCATCCCGAGAGGGTAAAGTGGTGTAAGATGTTTGCATGTTAACAAAATCCATATAATAGTTATAAAAACAACACGAAATGTATAACAAAAGATTATTGTTTTCACATGGGATTAACCATGTGTTTACTTATATTCCCCCCCCCCCCCCCCGAAAGTGTTCAAAAGTATTATATATATATATATATATATATATATATATATATATATATATATATATATAATACTATATTATAAAGAATTTTTTTTTCTTTCACCACATTCATTTGAAACTCCAAACTTTTCACATTTTCGTACAATACGCTTAATTTATTAGTTAAATATGTAAACATTATCGTAAATTGAAGAATTTATGACTTATCAATATACATATATATATATATATATATATATATATATATATATATATATATATATATATATATATATATTTTGTTAGCTTCAATATATAGTTAAATAAATAACATACATTAATATATCAAATAAGCCTAAAAGTTTAGTGTAAAATTTAAAACCTAAAGTAAAATATAAAATAATATTTAAAAAAAATTCAATATATATTTTTTAACATAGTTAAAAAGAAAATATTAAATATAATAATAATAAAAGAGCCTAAATGGATAAATCGAATTAACTAAAAGATATCTGAAAACTATATTCTAACAATATATTTTTAACATGCGCCATGTAACGTGCGATAATTTTTTTCTAATATATATATATATATATATATATATATATATATATATATATATATATATATATATATATATATATATATATTTTGTCACATTCTAGTACATTTTGTGGTAGTACATCTCTTTAAAACTTTATCATTTAGAGAGAACATTGTTTGTCATTTTTGTCATGTTTTTTCTTATTAAAATTAAACTATATTAAAAATAATCAATTTAAACAAATTGGATTTATAAAAACTAAAACTTGATTAACGAAAATTACAAGACATTTAAAAATATGAAAGATATGAATTAAAACTACCAAACATAAATTAAAAAGACTAAACATAAAATAAACTCTAAACATAAATAAACCCCTATCTCTCTCTCTCTCTCTATATATATATATATATATATATATATATATATATATATATATATAGAGAGAGAGAGAGAGAGAGAGAGAGATAGGGGTTTATTTATGTTTAGAGTTTTATTTTATGTTTAGTCTTTTTAATTTATGTTTGGTAGTTTTAATTCATATCTTTCATATTTTTAAATGTCTTGTAATTTTCGTTAATCAAGTTTTAGTTTTTATAAATCCAATTTGTTTAAATTGATTATTTTTAATATAGTTTAATTTTAATAAGAAAAAACATGACAAAAATGACAAACAATGTTCTCTCTAAATGATAAAGTTTTAAAGAGATGTACTACCACAAAATGTACTAGAATGTGACAAAAGTGCTGCCATGAACTAAATCAAAAGTGGTACCATGAACAAAATCTATGGCGAGTGGTGGTTGTTTTGATTGATTTGAAATTATTTGTCTCTTTTACTTAAATTTTAAAGTATTTGACGTTTCATACGAAGCTTCGGGTAATCACTGCAAACTCCAAGAAACTGACATCAACCAACTGAAAACATAAAACACAACCTCCACCACCAATCCTCGCATTATAGCTTTCTCTTCTTCGTCACCACAAACGTCATTGTTTCTCCCCCAAGACTCCACACCATCAGCATATAAATCCATCGAAGTTGTCACCATTTAAACACACTCATAACCTCACTAAAGCTTCATTCCAATAATCTCCCTCGTTGTAAAACGACAAAAGTCATGGTTCAATCTCAACCTCACTTCCTCCTAGTAACTTATCCAACCCAAGGTCACATCAATCCAGCTCTCCAGTTCGCTAAACGACTCCTCCGATTAGGTGTCAAGGTCACCTTCACCACCTGCCTCTCCGCCTATCGTCGCATGAGCAAAGCTGGCCGGATTCCAGACAGTTTGAGCTTCGCTCCCTTTTCCGACGGCTTCGACGATGGCTACAACTACAAGGACAGTGACGCCTCATTTTACCTGACACAGTTGAGAAACCGAGGAAAACAAAGCTTGAAAGAAACCATTCTTTCTTGCGACAAAGCTGGCACTCCGATCACTTGTTTGGTTTACACCATCCTTCTCCCTTGGGCTGAGGAGGTGGCGCGTGACCAAAACTTGCCATCAGCTCTTCTTTGGATTCAACCAGCATCTGTATTTCGTATCTACTATTATTACTTCAATGGGTACGATAAATTAATTGGTGAAGAGTCAAAAGACCCATCATGGTCCATCGAATTACCAGGGTTGCCATCTCTCAAAAGTCGCGACCTTCCCTCCTTTTGTCTACCTTCGAACACTTACAACTTCGCACTTCCTTTGTTCAAAGAACAGCTAGATATCTTGGATTCAGAAGACAGGCCTAAAATACTAATGAACACCTTCGATGCTTTGGAAGAAGATGCTTTGAAAGATATCGATGAGAAGCTAAACATGGTCGCAGTAGGGCCGTTGATTCCGTCAGCTTTCTTGGATGGAAACGATCCATCAGACACATCCTTCGGCGGAGACTTGTTTGAAAAGTCAAAAGACTACATCGAATGGATGAACACAAAGCCTCAGGGATCCATCGTGTACATTTCTTTTGGCACCTTGATAACACTGTCGAAGAAACAGAAGGAAGAAATGGCACAAGCTTTGTTGAAGATCCGACGTCCGTTTTTGTGGGTGATCAGAGATAAAAGCGGCGACATGAACTGGACGAAAGAAGATGAAGAAGAGGAAGACGAAGTAAGTTGTATGAAGGAACTGGAAGAATTAGGTTTGATAGTTCCATGGTGTAGTCAAGTAGAGGTGTTATCTCATCCATCTTTAGGTTGCTTTGTGACGCATTGTGGGTGGAATTCGACGCTGGAGAGTATAGTTTGTGGGCTTCCGGTGGTGGCGTTTCCTCACTGGACAGATCAGTCGACGAATGCGAAGCTGTTAGAAGATGTGTGGGGAACGGGGGTGAGGGTGGCGGCTACCGGAGAAGGAGTGGTTGAAGGGGAGGAGATGAGAAGGTGTATTGAAATGGTGATGGGAGGGGATGATGAAGGATTCGCAATGAGAAAGAATGCTAAGAAGTGGAAAGATTTGGCCAGAGATGCTATGAAGGAAAGTGGGTCGTCTTTTATGAATCTCAAGGCTTTTGTTAAAGAAGTTGATGGAACTTCGAGGCAGAAGAGAGTGCCGATTTGTAGTGAAGAATCTGAATCCGAATCGAGATCTGGTTATTCTGATTGAGTTCATATACAAAACTTTAATTTAAATTTCTACTGTTAATGATTGGACAATATTAAGTAGGATTTATCAGCAACTATTCAAATGATTGTTGCTAGGTCATCTTCGATGCATTGAACTCAAATGAGTTTAATAGATTGTCACACGTACATTCCACTTACAATACAATTTTACCTATTATACTCTACATTCTATTAAACTCAATACAATTTAATGGATTACCACAACACTTATATATGTGTGAGAGGAGAGACAGTGTGTAGTTCATTGGGGATTGAACTCACCATTTTATTAAGTGTCATGTCATTAACCCACAATGGGGATTTTAAGTTTAATGGGATTAAACTCCCCATTCAACTCCACATTAAACTACCATTGAAGATGACCTTAGGATTAAGAATTTTTTATTTTCTCCATTTTCTTTCCTTTTCTGTTAAATACCCGAAATTACTCAAAAAGACATAAAACATTATTTGTTTCCACTTATTCATTAATCCTTACAATTCATCTTTTTTTAATTAAATTGACCAACATTTAGTTTCCGAAAATTCATCTTTTCTTTATAGAGGAATATAGATGAATAGTTAATAATTTATTTTCCTACAACAACCATGTTATAAAATAAATGGTCTTTCAATATGCAACACCCAAGGGTTTGTTGGGCTAAACAATATTTGGGCTAACTTCCATAAACTGCAATATAGATCATTGATGTTTTGACATCTCTTGAGTGAGGATAGGTTAGATATGACTTGAAATATTTCACAAAACTTTGAGATGTTACGCTGTTGGTGACAGTTTACTAATGGATATTATGATGTTATATAAGAAGCCTCCAAATGAACGATTAATCATAATGAGGCGATTAATATTTTCTGTAGGAGGGTAGAGCTATCTTTTGGAAGACTTGAGTTTTTTCTTATCTTGGACTTCGATTCCGGTGTTTCGTTGAAATACGTATCATATTATCTATATTTCAGCAATGTGTGTTCGGTGATAAAACAAAGAGTATTCTTGATTCCACCAAAAAGGTCATACCAGAAACAGTATCCATATTTTTCCTTAACCTTTAAAGAGTATCCATCGACATATATAGGAAAATCAAGTAACAAAGGAGCAGCAAGTATCAATAAAGGGCTTTTCGGTAAGGGTAATAATTCAAGGCAAAAATATACAACATGAAATAAAATTTGGACAAAATTAAATTTCAAATCCATGTTTATGTTAAGTATAAAACAAACTCACATCTTGTCGTGTCGGTGCTCATGTTTATAATTTGATGCGAAAGTGACACAATATTACCAAATTTTTTCCTTGTTTATTGTGTCTTTCTTGTTTGTCGTGTTTTGTATGATTAATTATAAATTAGATGAACTGAAGGCTTATTATTTTATCTATTTTGTGTTTGTCGTTTTTATTGTGTTTTAAATGAATCATTTTCTTCTTAGTTTAACAAATCACGATGTGATATTATTGTATCTATTATGTGTTTGTCGTTTTTATTGTGCTTTAAATGAATAATTTTCTTCTTAGTTTATCAAATCACGATGTGATATTGTATCCGTGTTATATAAAATGTAACGCTGTCAACTTAAAACATGACACAAGTACCAATTTTCCACTTTCTACCTCTGGCTTTTCGTAGCAGCAATATTCAACATAACTCAATAAGACCCTCTAATTTATATGTCTCAGTGGAACCCTTCGGTCCGAACCCAGTAAACTCATAGCAACAATATTCAACATAAATCAGAAAGACATAATGTAGAATATTACAACACACAGATAAACACATAAAATGTAACACCGTTAAATTTCAAACAATTTTTGATCTAATTTTAATAAAAACATTTCATTTCCAAATCATCCCAAAATATATATCCAGTAATTTTCATAAAAAAAAACAATACAAATCCATATTCCAAGGTCTCAAAACATGTCATCTGCAACTGTGTACGGATCATGTCGGTGACTTCCCGTGATCATCACTGGTACCTGAAACACATAACGCACAAATGGTAAGCAAAAAATCTTAGTGAGTTCCCCAAAATACCACATACAACACATACGCCTTTTCAGACCATAACTCTATAGGATCTTCCAACCCAAGTGTCTCAGGGGATTTCTATCCCATAACTTTGTTGACCTTCCGACCCATACTCTGTTAACCTTTCGGTCCATATCATCATACTCATCATAACATATCACATACATAACATGCATCACATAAACATCATACACATAAGACCTTCCGGTCACACCTAGTTACCCCATCGGGTATGGCATAGTGAGAAGACTCTCCTCGCTGATATCGGATAATCACTCGAGCTTGATTCCCCGATGTATCGCCTCCTATATCATAAGTACATCTCTAATTAATACCTTCCTAACTTAGTTTGACTAAGACTATTAAGTCAACACTAGTCAACCCTGGTCAATGCTGGTCAAAGGTCAACCTTTGACCCGACTCGTCGAGTCTTGCATAGACTAGTCGAGTCCATACGTGAACTCAAGTCCTTTAAATCCTTTCTGACTTACCGATTCACTCACCCAACTCGGCGAGTCATCCACTGATCTGAGTCACGGGACAACCCGCTCTGACTCGTCGAGTCTGCTCATGGACTCGGCGAGTTCGTTTCATGCACAACCTCAAACAACCTTCTGAGGTCAGATCTATTCCTATAATCCTTAGATCTAACCTTTCCAAGCTCAATAATCACGTAAAGTCGCTATCTTGATGTACATGCAACATCTATATGACCATATATGATGATTTAGCCCCAAATACCACAACCCAAGGTCATAACCTCCATTGCTCTTCATAAAGCTTGATTAATGAGGCCCTCTGGACCTCTATGGATCCAGATCCAAAGCCTTATCACCAGAAAGGGACTATTTGGACATCAAATCATCCTAACAAAGGGCACAAGAAACGCTAAATCCAAATATACTTCATAAAACAGGAGATGAGCCGAGTTAATACCTCAAATGCGATGATCTTGGCTTCAAATCCATATAATAGCAACCTCCTTTGCTTCCTCTTGGTTAGGACCTCCTTCTTCTTGCTAAATAACACCACAAAGGTTAAGAATGGCTTCCTTTCTTTCCCAAAATGCCCAAGCACTCTAGGGTTTCTCTCTATGGACTGGTAGCCGCAAATGAAAGCCATAAGGGCCTTTAAATAGGTCCCAAACCTGAGAAATTAGGGTTTCTTTCGTTAGCTCTGACTCGGCGAGTCGCTCCCTGACTCGTCGAGTCCCCTTATTAACCACGTCATCCAGTCGCGACCAGACTCGACGAGTCTGAGCACCAACTCATCGAGTCAACCTACATAAATAAAGAATTGCAACATATATCAATATACTTGGGAAACTGGGTGTTACAATTCTCCCCCATTTGATTTAGACTTTGCCCTCGAAGTCTCACTCAACAAATAACTCTGGATACTGCTCTCGCATCTCTAACTCCGTCTCCCAAGTCAGCTCGGACCCCTTCTGATCTTGCCACTGGACCTGAACCAATGACACCTCCTTGTTTCTCATAACCTTGATCCTCTTATCCCGAATCACGATCGGCCTCTCAACATAGTTCAGGCTCGCATCCACCTGAATGTCCTCTAATGGAACCACTACCGACTCATCGGCGATACACTTCCTCAACTGAGATACGTGGAAGGTATCATGAATCTGACTCAGCTCCGCAAGTAGCTCCAAACGATATGCTACCCTGCCCACCCTGGCGATCACCCTGAAAGGACCAATATACCAAGGCCCCAACTTGCTTCTCTTCTTGAATCGAATCACACCTTTCCAAGGTGAGACTTTCAGGAGAACGAAATCACCCACCTGAAACTTGAGCTCTGACCGTCTTCTGTCTGCATAACTCTTCTAACGGCATGGGTTGTCATCAACCTCTATCTGACCTGTTGAATATGCTCGGTGGTCTGTAGTACTATCTATGTGCTACCCATCACCCGCTGCCCTACTTCTCCATAACAAATAGGAGTTCGACACCTCCTCCAATATAACAATTCAAAAGGAGGCATACCAATGCTCGAATGATGGCTATTGTTATTGGAGAACTCAGCCAAAGGTAGGTACGTGTCCTAACTCCCTCCAAAATCCAATACACATGCACGAAGCATATCCTCAAGAGTCTGAATAGTCCGCTCACTCTAACCATTGGCCTGAGGGTGATAGGCAGTGCTGAAATGCAATCTCGTACCCAAGTCCTCATGAAACTTCTTCTAGAACCTGGAAGTAAAACGTACATCCCAATCCGACACAATCGAAATCAGTAGCCCATGCCAAGACACTATCTCCCTCACATACATCTCTGCCAACTTCTCCGTAGAAGAGCTCTCACTAATGGAAAGAAAGTGGGCACTCTTCGTCAGTCGATCCACTACCACCCAAATCGCATCGACACCCCTTGGAGTTCTGGGTAACTTGGTGATGAAATCTATAGAGATCTGCTCCCACTTCCACTGGGGAATCTCGAGTGGCTGCAACTTACCATGTGGACGCTGGTACTCAGCCTTAACCTGACGACACGTCAAGCACCTCTCTACAACCCACGCTACATCCCTCTTCATGCATGGCCACCAATAATCTTTCTTCAAATCCAAGTACATCTTGGTAGCCTCGGGATTGATCGAGAACCTCGATCGATGCGCCTCCTCCATCAAGATGCTACGTGCCCCACCCATGAACGACACCCAAATACGACCCTGAAATGTCATAAGTGTGACAACCGTCAATTTCCGGTCAAGTCAAAGTCAACTAAAGTCAACAAGTCAAACCGATCGACTCAATTTGCCCATAGGTACTAGAGTTTACATTATGTAATTTCTAAACAACTCGCTATTCTTATGAGAGATCATAAATCGAAAAGTACATACATCTAGATTTCCTTAACCTAAAACTGTGGTAAGTGACGAACCAAACCGATAAAACAATGTTGCATACTCATCGGGAGTGTGTAAGATCCTTTAAACAAGGCTT